TTTTTAAAGCCCAGGGTGTTGTAGAGGTCGGTTTCTGGACCCACGACAGGTAATCGTGTGGAGGGGCCTGCTCTGGAGCACTGCATGTAGAACTCGCGTTGCGGTGTGTCTCAATTCTTGACTTATAGGAACCGAACCGACACTTCCCCAGAGAGGTAATGGATCAGGGTCATAAGGGCGTACTTCAGCCCTGTCTTCTGTTGTCCCATCCGCACTGTTTTCCGCAGAAGAAGCTTTCTCTTTCCCTGTCCTTTGTAGCTCATCAGGCTACTATGTGCTTCTCCCGGCCCCTGTACCAGGAGACACATTGTTGCCTTGTCTGAGGTGTACGTCTTCAGAATCCCTCTGAGATACCATTTTAAGTAAAGTGGACGTCATCCGGCTCCCTCTGAGATGTCGGACAGGGGAGGAGGGTGCAGAGCTGACTGGCTGGAGGGGGGGGGAGGGGAAGGCATAGCAGGGACGGAGAGACCGGTGGGGAAGTGAATGGTTGAGGGGGCGTTGGTGGTGGGGAATCGATCGGGATCGGGGGGGGAGGCTGCGGGGTTATGACGGGGGGGCGTCAGGGGAAGAGGGCAGGGGGGGGACTGGGACCAGGGAGAGTGGATGGGGCAGGGCTCAACCTCCACAGTCCGAGCCTGCTCTCCCGGAGCTGGGCGCACTGCTATTGTCGCGATATTGAGGTGAGTCCTGGTAGTGGTGTCGAGAAGGACTCGGCCGGTCTGTATGTCCATAGGTGGTCTTGTGCTGCCCAGTTTTTCCATGTCAGGCTTCCGTCAATCTCTACTTCAGCGATTTTGTGGTTCGGGTCTATCCATTTTACCGCAAAGGCCGCTATCAGTTGTTGTCTACTGTCAGGGTCGGGACCTACACTCACCTTTTCTTTTAAGATTTAAACCACAGGTCCCCCCGCCACCGAAAACCCCTGGTACCGGTGAGTTAGGGGAGGGTTTTTCGGAGGTCGTCTGCCCAAACTCACCGATCTCGCAAAGTCCCTGGGTACTGCACCAAGGCCCCACGGTGTAGAGGCCGGACGACGGCTGGGTTGCATCGAGCGGCAGCGAAACGGTCGGGTGGTCCAGTTTTTGGGCCGCCGACAATCTGTACCGGACTTTCGCGTTGTGGCAGGAATTGAAGTGCCACAATCAAAATGCGAAAAAAAAAAACGAAAACAGGTCCAAAAATTCTGCGGTCACGCGCCTTTTTTTGTTTTGTTGTTTTTTTTTTCGTTATTGTTACCATTGTCCCGGTACTACCGATATATACATATGAGACGACGATGTGGAAACGCGTCTCCTCTGTGTAGTTGTCTAGGGTTTGGATGTCGTTGACGCTTTCCCTCCGATCGGGGTTGTGACAGTCATGTTCGCCATCGCCACGAGCCCCCTAAC